GAAACGTTGCGTCACAGTAGTCATGTGACTCGATGACGCAACATATGTTTTCCTCTGGTTGCTCCCTGATGGTTCAGCGGAAATTCCGAGGGCTTATGAAGCTAAAAGTCGATACCTGTGGTATGTGTAGCTTTATGGTTAACAATGAAATATACAAAAAATTATATCTGGTCAGTAGTTCAAAAGTATGGATGGCTGTAATGGCTGAAGTATCTATCAATTTAACCATTCTATGACTAGAATAGAATATATTTTAATTGAGGTATATTCACGAAATATTTTTCTAAATTACTATGCAATTTATGCATGTAATTATGACAGTCAGTAAACTGGATATCTCGAGGTCATAAATACGTGCTAATACTTTTTCACAGGTAAATATGACATACTGCAATCTTTGTTCTTAAGTCTGAAGTTAGCGTTTATCTATCTATTTCTTGAAAGGTAGCCTACTCATTCAAGCAATACAAAAACTTATACAACGTACTCTGCTTAAGATTGCGTGTACACCATCAGTTGAAATACATAACCTGTGGACTTGTGTGACACTTGACCTTTGTCTCGCCAGGGTATTACTAGTGTTCTGTCTCTTGATTTCTCTTCCTCTCTTGTTCTCCTGCTTTCGATACCAGCAGACAGAAGAAGCCCGTTCAATTCTGGTTGGTAAAAGAACATTGAGTTTGTTAAATAAGGGATTTTGTGTGTAAAATTGCACTTATGTTTTCCTATTTTCCTCTACTGTTTGTGTTAAATTTATTCTTCGCATATAGCCCTAAACTTGCATTTTGGCTTTTCTGCTGGACATAAATGTGTCCGAATACCATACTGCTATACTGCTGAATCCTTGGTCTCTGACTTGATTGTTTAGCCTATAATTTATATCATTATTGGATATCAAAATCATTACAAAACTAACTTTTTTAAGTTATTGAAGCTTTTCACTTTTAATTACTATATATGAGAAAAACGAATTTACTAAACCCAATGGTTTAAGATAAAAATAAAGACTGTCAATATAATGCAAAATAGGCTGCATTACATTGTTGTAGGCTACATTTCAAATATTTTAATTTAAACGTTTTATAGTGATAACGTGTAATGTTTAGAAATTTCCTGGATATCTAGATTTGAGGAAGTTTTTTTTAGAATAATTATTGTATAAAAAGGCTAAAGTAACACTGTTAGACTTATAGTTAGACAATCTGTTAGTCTGCCAGTTTTGAGTTAGAGTTGTAGATATGAAAAGATATTTGAAAAGTAAGTGACTGTTTGGTTTTATTTGTGAATCAGACCTATCACTTGGTTGTCGTTAGTTCGCGAAACCGTGTAATTTGTGAAAAGTGTAGTTGAAGAAATAGAATGATTCACTTTTGTGGTATTCTCGGGACATACTTAAGTTAAGAAAATAAATAGAGTAGACACGTAATGTAAAGTACAAAACAATCTTTATTCAAAATGAAAATCAAAAACCAGGAAGCATACTTGCTTAGACACTGGACTGTTACCTTCCTACTAGATCAGTTAACAGTTATTATCTCCCTAGAAACTTCCTGTTGATTGAATTATGTCTTGAATAAAACAGGAAACTTCAGTTCTACCCATAAACAACAACCATTAACATGTGACTGCCGTTCCCTTGCATCATAAAAAGGCTGTAATCTCTAAATATAATCTACTCGCCAGTGAAGAACATTATAACAATATTCCCACTAGCACAGTAGATACTAATGTTAGAGAACAACAAAGAAACAAAGGTAAGAACAAAACAACTCAACTGTTTTCTGAACCATGTGTTTATGCCAGTACTGTTCAGAATCAGTCTATAAGAAAGTTTTTTAATTCCTGTATTATTAAAACATGATGAAAATTACATGATATGCCTGCATACCACATTCCCCCCGCCCCCAATCTCTGTTTCAGGCTTGTCCTCAAGCGTGCCTTTTAATGTAACTTTTAAAACCAATTAACCTTAAACTCGCGACATGGTCAAGAAGTGTATTGATTTTTCCCATTGTTCCTACAAAAAATTACACAATTGAACCCTTTAAACATGAAGAGTTCATAGCACCAAAATATACCATTTAATGATTATACTTTATAAGTTTTAAATGCAAGCACACACACAGGAAGACAAAAATACCCTTTGACAATGAAATACAAATAATAATAATTTTATCATTGTGTAAAAGTCAAACGTAATAGTTACATAATACTTCTCTACTTCCTTTAGAAGGGGTAGTCTACTATGAATAAATTATTAAACAGAAAACATTAGACCCCTTAACATAGATCACGCCCTTTAAAAAGAAGTAGTTTAACAGACTATCCTTCTTTACTTAAAGGAAACAAGTACCCTTTAACGTTGATGCATTATCAAAATAAAACTCTTTTTAATGATGTTTATAAATGCAAAGAGTAATGAGATAGAATAAATGTTTAAGAAT